TTCATGTAAATTGTGTAATTAAACGGAAATTTTGCCGGCAGCCAAAGTAAAGGCAAAGTGAAAAGAACAAAAAAAAAACAACAAAACAAACAACAAAAAAATCAGTGCCTTCAGAACAATTTCACTCAACGCTTTGCAATGCATCAAACGCATTTAATTGGCTTTCGTTAATTCACGCACTTTGAGTTGTTTACTTTTTTGCATTTTTTGTTGTTGGTATGCATTGAAAGTTTGTTGAGAATTGTTGCTATTTTTGTGGGCATAACTACGCTCTTCTCGCCGTTACATTACAGCTGGTAATTGCGATAAACATGGCCTCATTTATTAAATGTCATTGTTGTATTTGCTGCGGTGTAAACACAAAGTGCGGGTAAATGCAAAATTGCTAGCGAAAAGGGCGAAATGTGAATGAGTGTGTGTGTATGTGTGTATGCTTGTATGCTTGTTGCGGATTGAAAGGCTTGCAATGATTTTATTTTATTTTTTTGCTGAGAAGTTGCCAAGTAATATTGTGCGTGTTAATTGTAATCACGATCAATCTGTAGTTATGAGACGAAGCAGAAAATCAGCAATTATCAATTCATAAATGTGGCGGCCAAAAGCCAATTGAATTTAAATACCTTTAGGTAAATTTGTTTGTGTGAGTTTAATGCAAAGGCTAGTGGTGATTTTAATTGCAGTTTAATGAAATGCATTACCGATATTGTGCATAAATGTATATCTACTAACAGAAAAAAGGGGGTTCTCTAAAGAATTTTTTTTCAGGGTTTAAAGTTTAATATGAAAATTATATAAAAACCACGGTGTTGTGTAAAAGCAAAGCGTTTTTCTCTACGACCACAGTTGCCCTAACTGCAATGTTGCATATATGTTTACCAGCACTTAATATAATGTCCAAAGAAGAGACCGTTATAATAGAAATAATATATACTTGTAATGCCAACATATCAAGATACCGCAGATCTCACCATATGCCTGATGACATAAACGGAGAAGTTTTCTCACCCGACCCTAAGCAAAATACATCCTTTCGACTGCCTTTATCGAGCAGTTATCAAAGTCGCTAAGGGAGGAATGAAGTCTTCATTTTCTCTAACAGCGCGTAAGTCCTGATTACTTTCGACTCACAAATAGACAATATATAGCCCGGTCAAGTCAAGCTCTACTTAATCTTACACCGTTTCATGTGGCAATACAAGAGGAAGCATGCTACTGGAAAAATAACTCCCCTTTAGTAAAGACGCAACGTTATTCAAGGCGGAACTAACTGCCATACTGGAGACCGCCCAACGTCTTAATAAACAGGCAATATGCCATAACAAAAATCTCCATACTTTCGGATAGTCAATCTGTCCTCAAAGCTCTAGATAGCTACTTGTTTCTCATCAAAAACCCTTATAGAGTGCCATGGAGCCCTCAATAAGATAGCCGCCCAAAATAGGGTCTCCTTAATCTGGGTGCTTGGTCATGAAGGCTATGATGGCAGTGAAAAGGCGGACTTTAAAGTTGAAAAAGGGGCAGAAACACCTTTTATTGGGCCCAAGAAGGACTTCAACAAGTGGGCAATATCCAGCACTGCTAGTCATTGGAATAAGTGTGAGGGACATCATGACTCAAAGAAATTCCTTTTATTCATTGTCAAAAGACCTCAATCAGCGCTCATGCTAAGCAGGAAAAACCTAAAAACGTATTGTGGAACACTAACAGGCCACTGTACGTGTAAAAAACACATGTACATGCTTGCCATATGTAGTAAAGACATTTGCGGGCTCTGTGGCGAAGAACAGCAACCAATATGTTCCTCAGATTCTGCAAATGAACGTCTGAAAATCCCAAGCTTTAGGTAATATCGCTCAAGAAGTACTTAGTACCTTGATAAAAATCAGATTTTATGGGCGTTGCACTAGAAATTACCTGCTTTTCTCGATTTAACAAGAAAGATCGGAATAGACGGTGCAGATGCTTCCTGGCGGCCACAATAGGCCAGTACGAAAAATGTCCCGATCTCCAAAGATTTCTCCTTATACCTTATAACTAATCTTGGGTCGAAAATAACTTGAAATTTTTGGCTTTTTATTTTTCAGTTATTCATTAGAAGCTAAATTATGTCTGCGTTCAGCGTTGAACTTAAAACTTCACAAAAAATTTTGAAAATTTCCGAATAAAGTTGGCCTAAAACAGATGCGATGCAAAAATTTACGATATGCGAGCAGTACAAACCACTGCGGTATATGAGAGTGCTCAAACAGATGTATCACAGCAAGCACAATTGATCGCACGATATGCATGGCTTTACCATTTTAGGGTTGCAAATTTTTGACTTTTTGTCACCTAAAACAGTCTCCTACACACAGCGAGAGAGGTTCAGCCATGATATTTATGTAACAATCAGCTTTTGCAAGCCTGGGTTATGTCGCAGTGTATCGTATTGCACCAGTTTGAGGGCATTTGCTTTATAACGTTATCGCATCAAATGCAGTAGGCCAACTTAAAGCACGAAAAGTAACGAAAAAGTTTAAAAAAAGTTTAAGTTTAAAGTATTTTCTATTGTTTTTTTTAGACATATAGATATAAACGTGCACACAGTTTCTTTCCTACCGACAAATCTCATTGCCCGCTTCGCTCAAGCAGCAAGAAGAGGGCAACGAAAAGGCGTCTTGCCTAGAAAAGAAGAAGAATATCTTTGAATATGGACTATGTATATATTTTTTATCAAAAGGCTTTCCGTTGCGGTATCTGTCTCACACCCATCGATTACTATTTGCACTTTCACCTATCTACACTTTGAATGCACACAGCTGCATTCATCTCACTCCAGTACGCCATGTCGTATACGTAATCATGAAGCGTTGAATTTGATGAGCTATCCATATGGAAAAGCCATTTTAATACACTTTATATTGTCAACAAAAATCTGCTGCGCTCAGCATCGTTAAATGCAATTTTGTATTTGTATTTGTTATAAAATTCACTGTCATTACGATGCGCGTTCAACCAAATGACAATACGCAGGCTGGTGGGCAAATACAAAGAGAGTTTTATGTGGCATAGCGGTTTGCGGTGGTTGTAATAATTTATGTACAAAATTTTTTCTGTGGGTGTGCACTTGCAGTTTTATGTGTGGAAATGCATTTTTGAAAACATTTTTGCAGTAATTTTTTTCTCGCAATCAACTGATTCTCTGCCACAAAATTAAATTTCGGAAGCGGTGGCAAGCGGATGTACATAAGGAACTTTTCCATCAGTTTCAGAGCCACATTGACATTTATAAGAATGAGCAAAGTATTTTAATTTTTTTTTTGAAATGCTTACTTTGATAAGCTAGCAAAAGAAATCCCGATTCATCACTCCTATCATTCGTTATTTTCATGTGTAACCATTGGCTTAAAAGCATGCTTTTCCCTCTTTTGTTAGTAAATTATTTATTTGTTTTATGACGGTTATTTAATTAATGTACAATTGTGTCAAAAAAAAAAAACACATGCCACACAAATGTACAAACACAAATATGAATGTATATTCATTTAACCACAAATTAATTGTAACAACCCATTGACTGCATTGTAAATGGTGAAGTGACCATAATCGATTAAATTATTACCATTAATAAATCCATTGACATAACTATTACAAAGGCGCATTTTCCAATTGAATATGACTTTATGAATTCAAGCGTTTAATTAAAAATTGTAATTGATAAAGTGGGAGATTATCATTTTATTTATAATAAAAAAGTAAAAAGGTGAATGAGTGGCAATTTTAATAATGTAAAGCAGAAATTAGTTATATACATATACAACTGCATGGCGGCCGAATCTGCTTGATACGGATACCTACTTCTACTCGGTGTATTTCAGGTTTATATCTGAAATTTTTAATTCATAGCCGAAGCTCTACATATTCAAAGAGAGATTTTTGTAGGACAAATACATAGAACTTTAGCAGAAGACGTCTCTCATACATTTTCAGCAGAAACTTTGATGTTGGTCATACCTGCGTCCTACCCAGTAATACAAAGTACATATGGAAAAATCTCCAGAATCGTGTGCTTTTGTGTCACTCACCCTTAAATTAATTTTATTATTGTAATTTTAATTTTTGTAACGGGTTCTTGTAACTATTTTTTCCTTTTTTACCAGATACCTTCAAAAATCATGTAAAATCAGAAAACTATGTGTTCTTCATTGGAAATAAACTGTAAAAATTTGAAATCCGTAATTGTAAACTCGTAATTGTCAAAAAGGTAATATTTGAAGTGTAAAATTTTATAGAACACTAAAAAAATGCCAAAAATCTTCATCAAAATTTAAAAATTTCTAAATATAGTTCAGAAATAAAGCATTTGAAAAACCATCTTCCATTAGTAAGCCATTTTACGTATTAAATAATTTGAAGCTAACTTTCTAAACCGGTGGCAACCCTCTTCAAAGACCTCTAAAATGTTGTCAATGTTAAAATCAAAGATCTCTTATCACTCTTTCGTTTGATACCCATATTTGAATATTTCAGCTTTAACTTTTTAAACAGGTGGCAACCCTATAAAAATATCTTCAAAATAAAAAAAAACCTGCCTAAATCTTTTTCATCTGAGCCTGATATTGCGAATCATATTTCAATTACGTAATCACAGTTCTTTTAAACACGTGGCAACTCTCCTAAATACAGTTCTAAATTAAATCAGTTTTAAGCTGATTGATACCTATCTTTTACTAATTCATTTGTCTTATTAAATAATTTGAATTTCGCGTTTCAATCAGGTGGCAACCCTTTTCAAACAACACAAAAAAATGTTCAAACCAAAGTTATTTTAAGACTCTTTCGTTTGACAACCCCATTTTAGTATTTTATATAACTTGTAATTCGACTTTTAAAACAGGTGGCCACACTCCTCTAAAAATTTGTAAATACTACCTTCTTAAACCTCTTTCGTCTGGCACCCATACGGGCACTTACATTCTCACTTCATTATATAAGTAATCACTCTTTATTTCTACACTTACCCTCGAACCCTCGGAAGTGGTGACGCAAGTGCCACCATTATAGCAGCCCACCTTGATGCAATCCGCTTCGGTGGCATTATCTACACCGCCAGCGCCACCACGCGCAACACCCGTTTCGCCACCGCCGCCCGTCGCCACTGTATTTGAGCTTTCAACCTCTTCACTGCTCGCCACTGTTGTAGTGCCAGGCTTGCCGGCAGCCGGCGCATAAGTGCTGTAAACCGCCGGCGAAGGAGCTGGTGGTGTTGTCGGTGGTGGCGCCGGCGGCAATGTGGTGTACGCTGGTGCCAGTGTACCCGGCGCAGGAGCTGGCTGCTCAGTTGGCGGCAGGTAAGTAGCCATAGTAATGCGTGTGGTGGTCGGCGGCGATGTCGGTGGTGGTAATGTTGTTGGCGGCAATGCTGCAGGTGTAGAAGATGGCTCTGGTGGTTGTGGTGGCGGTGGCTGTGTAGTCTCTTCTGCCGACTCGGATTCTGGCGGCGCGAGGGTTGTTGGCGCAGCTGGCGGCACAGTTGGTGTTGTAGCCGGGCGTGCTGACGTAGTGGGCCGAATCAGGTCTTCAGTATACAGTGGTTGCGTTGTGGTCACCGCTACAGCTGGCGGTGGTGCTGGTGACAATGTTGTTGGCACGCCGCCGCGATGTGTGGTATGCGGCAGCAACGTGTGGTCGTCTTTGATGGTAGGCGGCGGATGTGTGGTATGATGGTGGTGGTGATGGTGATGATGATGATGAATGGGACGTTCGACGGTGACGCCAGCAGTTGGAGTGACAGTCGGCGTCACAGTATCGCCGCCTATATGTGGTGGTAATGTTGTGCCACCATGGACGATGGCTGGCGTTGCTGACGGCAGCGTTGGCGGTGGGTAGGTTGCGCCTGGACGCGCTGTTGTCACTGTGCTCAAGTCTTTGCTGGTGAAGTCCTTGTAGCGTGTGGTAACCGACACTTCGGGGTATTCGGTGAAGAAGGGCGCGGCTGTGGTGGTCACACCCTTGTCCGCCGTCCAAATGCGATGTGGTGTGGTGGGTGCTTCGTGATCTGGGTACTCGGGATAACCTGTGGGTATGTGCTTGCCGGCGAATTCGGGGAGTATGTGCACCGTGCTGCTGGGAAAGAGTATTGTTGCTGTAGGCCGGTAAGTGGGACGTGCTGTCGAGAAGTCGATGGAGAAAGTGGTCTCGATAGTCGTAACATAGTGCTTGAATGGCGGACGCGTGGAGTAGGTGATGGTCGGGCGTTCATCCGACTCTGCGCTCTTTGAAACCGCCGATGAACCGGGTGTGTAATCCGCATCCACGCCACTACTCGTCACCTTAGCTGTGGTGGTGGGAACTTCCTGACCGCTACTAACGTCGAGTCGCGTCACCTCATCGGAGGTGCCAATTTCAACTGACGCGCTTCCTTCGGAGGAGTATGACACATCAACGCTGCTGCCACCAGACTCTGCGGTATATGAGCGCGATGACTCTGTCGTGTGCACCTTCTCCTCCGAGGAGGTGGAGGCGGCGGCGCTACTTGCTGTCGTAACCGGACCAGTCGGTGGTTTTACTTCCACTTCACCATGCTCCTCTTCAGTCTCCTCAGTCTCAACGGAAGTAGACACACTTGCCACCCCCGCGGCAGGCGTCGTTGTAGTCACTACAGTTATCGCGGGAATATGCGGTGTCGCCGCCTCCGTTGTCGTTGTTACTGTCGCCGCGGTTGTTGCAGCTATTGGCCGCACCATTGTTGTCGGTGGCATTGTCGATATGGCTGCAGTGTAATTGCAGTCCAACGAATCCTCGCCAATCATTAGGCACTCGCATAGCATTCCTGTCAGCAACGGCGGACATGAACATGAAAACGTGTCAACACCATCAATGCATACGCCACCATTCATGCAACGCGGTCCCAATTGGCACTCATCGTACTGATATTCGCACTTCTCGCCATGATAGTCAGGCACACAATAGCACGTCGGTATGCCCTCCTCCATCAGGCAGAGCGCATTGTTCTGGCATGGATTGTCGGCGCAAATTAATATCTCCTCTTCGCAATTGTTCCCCGTATAGCCCATCGGACAGGCGCACACATACGATGCCAATTTGTCCACGCATACACCGCCATTCTGACATGGCGCCGACTCGCATTCGTTGATCTCCTCCTGACAGATGCGTCCATGCCAGCCGGCAGTACATTCGCAGGAAAACTCCAGACCGGGACCCTCGATGCATTCGCCGCCATTCTGACAGCGAGCACCAGTGCCTGTAACAAAGCGGAAAGAGAGAGAGAATATGGTGGACATTAGTTATATTGATGTCGTAGATGTGGCTTTGTGTGTGTGTGTGAGTGTGTTTGTGCGTGCTTTCAAGTGTCCCTTTACGTTAGTGTGTTTGTAAAAATTTCAATTTTCCATTTGTTGGCATTCACCTGCGTTGATTTGTCCACTCCTACACTTACCCGTCTCGCAGACCGCCACATCGATTTCACAATTGATGCCCAGGTAGCCCGGCTGACAGGTGCAGGTGTAGCCATTGTTCCGGTCACGACAATGTCCGCCGTTTTGACATGGATTCGACATACACTCATCGACATTTTCCTCGCAATTGATTCCTGTTATTGGTCGTCCGAAATGGTTATTGTATATGAAAGTAGAAAAGAAAATGGTGAGGAATAAATTCAATAAATGGCATAAAAAATTGTTTTCAATTAAATATAATAGTTAAGGGTTTACATTAGACCGAAAGGCAGAAAGAGCTTTCATAATATTTGCCAGTAATGACAATTGTTTTGCGAGGGCTTTTGTCTTTCGAAAGACTGTGGTGAGTTGCCAGAATTGCCATGTTAAATTCTGTAAAATATCTATTTAGCAACAATTTTGTGAAACCTTTTTATTCAATTCATGAAGATATTATCTATTGTTTCTATTAAATAAGCTCTTATTCTTCTCTTGCAGATTCCATAACGACGTCAAGGGACAAAGTAAGGTAAGTTATCTCAAAATCATAACCGTTTTCCTTATATAAACTTAGCTTGAGTCAGCATCAGATACTTATATGAACTATGAAAGCTGCGACAAGATTCTATAGAGAAACAAGTTCAACAGCCTTCTACTTTCTTAGTGATGTCATGGCTAATTCTGGCAACCAGATTTAGATTTTTCAGCACGAAATTAGTTTCGCATTTTTTTTACTTGAAAATTTAATTATTTCCTTTCTAACCATTGATTGAGTATAAATATTCCCCTACAATATCGTTCAATAACGGAGTATATCAAGTACTACTTTAAAATGCAGCTTAAGGATCCTCCCGTTATGAAGAAATAAGCGTACATATCTACAAACACGAAGCGCATGGCCCTACTATCACTGAACCTATTCTTCCTTCCATTATCTGTCAATTGCATTTAACACTTAGAACATACACACATCGAACATTTCGTTGTAAATTGTAATTGTAATCTTCACCTAAAAGCAAATAATGGCACAATAGTAGTAAGCGCAAGAAAATTGCACCAACACAAAAGAAAATAAAAATATCACATAAAAGATAAGAGCAAAGAACACCAAACAACCACCAGAACATCAACCGGGAAATGAAAACAATATTGAGCGAAGAAATTGAAAAATTACTCTAGTAAATAAACAATGTAATACATAGGGATGGATATATGTATGTTTGTGCATATATATCTAAAACTAAAGTGCTTGGCCGCGCTGTACGTATATATACATATGTACAAATGTATGTATCTATTTATAAAAAAGTATAAAAGAAGAAAACTAAGATGAAAAAAATCAACTAAATATTTTTCTAGAAAATAAATGATAATGGTAACACTATAAAAATCACAAACACGAATATAGAGCTTTGTTTATGAATGACAGCAGACTATGTGGGTAATACATAGTGCAACAGCCAGAAGGGGTACAGAGACGTAATTAAACATGCTTATATTGGGACTACCAAGAAATTCTCGGAACTATGTTGCGATTATCAGGACTATATCGGGATTTGCGGGATTATTTCGAGATTTTCAATGCTATTGCGGGTTATTTTAGGAGTTTCCGGGTTCCGCTATAGTCCAGTAGTGGAATGTTCGGAACTGTTTCAGGATTTTCCGAACTATTTTCTGGTCTATTTTGGGTCTTAATGGTTGCTTATTGATTTTCCACCATAAAGTATTTAGTTTGTAAGAATTTTTTTTCATCTTGTAAATACCGAGGTACTTAAGCTTCTTCTAAATAATTAAGATTTTTTTACACGATAATAAACTATTTTATGTAGATGCATAACAACAATTGAACTACCGAAAACCATACTTAGGTTTTAAAATGCTTTCCTGTCTTTCGAACGACTAATTGAAAGATTTGCTAAGGAGGAGGTCTGAGCGTTATTTCGTTTGACTTTTAGCAATAAGTTCTTCAAAAATTAAATAAAATTAATAGAATATATAATTTTTCTTTTCTTAAATAATAAAAATGAAAAATAAAAAAAAGATTTATTGCAAAGAAAATAAAACAAAATTAAAACGGCAAAATACATAAAAGATATTTAAAAAGTGAAAGAAATTAAACAAAATATATCTCATTTTAAAACAATAAAATATGAAAATTTATTAAAAATAAAAATTTTTTCTAAAACAATAAATATATTAAAAAAGAAGAAACAAAATTAAAAATGAAAAAAGTCATAAAAATTACATAAATGAAATTAAAAAATATTTTTCTTTTTAATATAAAATAAAACAATAAAAACTAAATTAAGTTAAAGAAAAAAGATAAAGTATGTTACTAAAAAATTAATTGATATTAAAAAAGTATTTTTCTTTTTAAAACAAAAAAATCTAAAAATAGAAAGTAACTGCAACTAATAAAGAAAAAATAGAAAATATTTTGCTTTTAAAAATAATAAAACCTAAAAGTTATAGAAAAATTTTATAAAGAAAGGAACAAAAAATTAAAATAGCAAGAAAAATTCTGCTCCCGAGGACTCGAACCCGTTTCTCTTGAATGGAAGTTCAGTGCTTTGCATACTCGGCTATTGCGACTGCTGAAGCGGCGAAGCAAAATGATATACTAGTGCGATTTTATTCTAAAGCTTTTTGGCTAGAATAACAAAAGTATTTCGAACTCTCTTACCATCTCGCTTTCATTTGTCTTAAGTAGGGCTTTTTTTGCTATCTTAGCCAGAAATTCCCGTTAAATTGAGTTAAAATTTTACCCAGTTCAAAAATATCCTGCATATTAATCCGGGTCTAAAGCTATTTGTGCGCAAAGTCGATCTAAATTCGCGAAGCAGTAACACACATTTTAGCTGAATCATTCCATCCCATACATTTTAGCTCAATCACTAACCCACTTACAAAGTTTCATATTTATTTAGAAAGTCAGTGTTGCCAACTTGAAAAAAAATGTGTTAAATGAAAATCCAAACAGAGTTCAAACTGATAGTGTGTGCATCAAACGTAAAGTGTTTTCAAACACTCTAAAAAATCTGTTTAAAAACGTGACTATAAATCGAGTAGATATATTTTTGTTTATTTTTAAAAATTTTGGGTAAATTTACACGATGGAGGTTATTAAAGAAAAAATGCAAGAGTAAAATTCTTTTCTTTCTTTTCTTTCGAAAATTAATCGCTATTCCATTTTCATACCGAATATTATAATTGGCAGACTTTTAAAATCAATAAATTTAATAGAACCCCGCCTGTTTCTGCTACCCGTTTCCATGACAATCCAGATGGCTATCCCCACTTTCCACGCTCCCCATATGTATGTATGTATGTATGCTCCATGCAGCGTGTGTGTCTCTCATTTTGGTTGCCTGTAAATTCGTTGCAATTTAATTTACGCTACCACGTTCTCTACAACAATTTGCTGTTTGTGTTATTGTTGTCATTGCTGCTATTGCGATGCATCGCCGCAGTCATTGCGCCTGTTACTATAAACTACGAACGTTTAGTTGTTGGTGCACTTGTACGCTGTTTACTTTACGCCCGTTGTTATTTCTGGTTATTGCCATCGTGTATTCCTATTCTTTTTGCAGCTGGTGTTGCTGTTGTTAGTCTCAGTTGTTGGTAAGTGCAAAGCTACTGGCGTGTAAAGTTGCAAACAAATTCACGAAAGTTTACAGAAAAATAAAACGCAAAACAAGACAAGACAAGACACTACAAAAGTGCTGAAATACATACAACGCTTTCGCACTTCTCTCTCACAGCACAGCAAATCCTTTAGCGTAATGTCCTGCGCTGCTTGCGTCTGTCAGCCGCTTGTCTGTCTGGCTCTTGTATGCTTGTTTGTGCTTTCACTCGCTGACTTAGATTTTTGGAAAGCGCGCTTTATAGGGCTCGCCGAGTTTTTCACTTGCCAAGTCGTGGCGTAATTCGGTGAATTGCATTTGGTCGGGACTTTCATGTTAAAAGTTGGCAAAAGTCTTTCGCCTCAGCATTGAATACTTGAAAAGTTGGCCATTTTCGCAAAGAGTTGCAGCTGTAGTTGTAGTTTCAGTTAGTTGTAGTTGAAAGTAAGTTCTATTTGGTAATAATTGTGGAGTGTAGAAAGATGCGCTGCTCTAGAAATGTGGCAAGTTGCTGCATGTTTTTGAAAGATTTTGCGCAAACCTAAAATTTTCCAAAGAACTTGTGTTCTTCTTCTTCTTCTTTTTTGGTAGTTTCTCTTTTCGCGCGAAAAACATTAAAACTTATTTTTGTGTTTATTCTATTGTGCTTGGTGATTTTAAGATGGTTTAGGGCTACGTTTGTAAATTTGGCACTTCAGTGCGTAAATGGAATCAAAAATTTTTTGAATAAGAAAATACTAAGTAAGTAGCAAAGATTTGTATGCACCTGGGTCTTTTATTGTATGAAGTCTTCTTTTCTTCTGAAGTTGAAACCCCTAGCCAGCCTACTCAGTGTGGCAGGATATATTTCACCAATAAAGTTGAATGATTGGATTGGAGTAGACTTGAAAATCAAGGCACATAACTAATTATAATCTCCAGTGTGGCTGAGGAGGGATATCGGGACAGAAAAAAATGGGAGCATAATTTCTTTGACATCTCAAAAAACATAGGTCAAGATATAAAGTTTACAAAATTTTCTTTATTCTGGCAGGAAAATCTTACAAAAAATAATGTTCTTGCGAACTTGCATGGCAACGGTGCAACGGGCGCAATGGCCAAGTGGGCAAAATTCTACCCTGGCATTCGAGAGATCCGTGACTCAAATACTCGGGCAAGGGAATTTTTTACAATCTTGTTTTAAATAAATTTTGTTTCTCTTTCTAAATTTTATTAATATTTTTTTTTATATTTTATTGCTTTAAAAAGATTTTGTTTTAATTCATTTAGTTTTAAGGAACTTATTTTATATTTTGCTCTTTTTAATTAAATTTTCTTATAATTTTTAGTTTTAAAAAGAAATATATTTTTTATATTTTTTTTTAATTATGAAAGTTTTAATTTTCTTTTTTTTCATTTTAATTTAGTTTTCTTAAAATTTTTATTTTTTTAAAAAGGAAATATTTTTTTTGTTTGCATTTAAATTTTAAGAAGTTGTTTTGTTTTGCTTTTTTAGCGAAATTGTTTTTTCATTTCACTTTTTTTCGATTTTA